GACACGTTGTTGAAACAAATGAATAGGATTAGGAACAATGTACCAGCTGGTTGAAACAAAGTCAGTCACGGTCTTGTTGAATTGGGGGTGCGGTTAGTAATAGGTACTTTTCATGTTTTCAATTTTTGTTAAGAACTCTTTAACCCCAAAGCTGGAATTGGGGGTGTGGTTACTATTACATATACAAAATATTTGAAATCAGAAATAACAATAACTGACATTTTACTTTTACTTTAGTTTTATATGTATTGTACTTTATTACTAACATTTTATTGCTGTTCAACCAATGGAAATTATTTCTAAGGATGCAATAAATTCATTATTATTATTATTATATACGGTTTATATTAGGATTTTAACGGTATATTCAGAATTTTTGTTAGTGAGGATCCAAGTTACTCAGTGAGAATGGACAATTTGAGAACCGCTCTTATATTTAACTTCTAAATCAAGGTGATTTAGTGAACAGATGTCACAACTTTCTCAGGGCCATTATGTAAAAATAAAGACATCATTTTTACTTTTGGGGACTATAATGTTTTTTCATACAATTTTTTGCCTAATTTAAGTGATAATAAAATACTTATGCTGTGGTAATTATTAAATGATAATAATTAGGTTGAAATATTTTCATACAAAAATGTACTTGTCACTGAAGGAATAATACAGTGAAAATAAAATTCATACAAAACACCCAAAAAGCTTTTTCAGCGAAAATTACAGTAATTTACAGTAATTTAAAATACCATAATTTAATAGGAACATTGAACAATAATAATTTATTGTAGGTAGACAAATTCTCTCTCAGAAAAACTGAAAATGATATATTTGAATGGTTGTATTATTAGAGTGGATTTCAGTCAGTGGAGGTGAGAAACATGGAACAAACACAGAAAGAATGATAGAAGTTCTAATTATTAGCATTGTTCAACTAAAAAAAGAAATATGATAATCCCTTTTCTAGGACTACGTCCGAATAGATCACTAAAATCTTGACTAAATTTAAATAGTAGTGACCTGAGATACAAGTACATTGTACACCAGTAGGTTTCTGTAAAGTAAATTTACATTTGTAGAACTAAATATTTCAGAGTATCAACAGCATTACTGTTTGTAAACAATGATGCTAAGAAACATTGTTTACTGTGACACATTTTGTTTGAAGTCGGCAAATGTGATACATTTCAAAAAAATTCAGTCATTAATTATGTATTTGGCAATTGGTATGTAAACATACATGGGTGAAAGAAGACACTGACAGCTGGGCAAGTGTTTGTTTGCTTAGCAATGTTTACACAAACACTAATTTGCAAAACTATGTCACTGGACAATATTATGTTAATTAATTATTTTGTTGTGTTTTATCACATTTGGGGCCACAGTCAGTATATATATTTGCTTAATGCAATGGGAATGTTATGAATATATGTTTTCAGCAATATAAACATTGTTTTAAACTATATAGATGATATTATTAATTAACTACAAGTTTCATTAATAATGTAATTTTAATTTATCAAGAGCCTCAACCTCATGACCACAGTCAACAAATATATAATTAGTGAATGCAAAATAAGAATAGCATGACTAACCGAGCGTGATTCATTCTCACGTTATCCTCGCAAGCTGCATTCAGTGCTGATTAATTGCCTTTTTTTTAATAAAATACTGTGTATAGTAACACATGCACTCATGTCACAACCCTGCGGTTGTTTAGGTAGTGAAGTTGACTTTTACAAGATCCATTGTGAGCCGCCTGCAGTGGTTTTGTTCAATGTATACAAACCACCAGGTTATTTGTATACGTCTGCGGTATATAGAAAGGCATTGACAAGGATGTCAGGATTAAATGAGTAATACTCCACTGCCTGAAGAGGAATGTATGTCAGCTTGTCTCATCTTGTGATACCGGATCTTGCTCCATGCTGTGTGATCTTTTCTTCCTCCTTTTGTAACCCTAGCAACATGAACAACAAGCATTCAAAACTTACTTTATCTTATGAAGTGATAACAAGGCTCTTCCTTCATTGTCAAGGGAACGTAATTCTTCATCTGTGAAGTCAGTTTGGTTGCCATAGTTACCAACAACCTCATTTCCTGCTGAAGATGAGAGGATTCCAGACAGTCCTTCTTCTGCAGCTAGAGGTGTGAAGTCATTGTGACAGAATGTTGCAACACCTATTATGAAAACGAAAAAGCCGTTTGAAGATACGATTGAGAAGAAGAATATTAAAGAATACATTTTGCATGTCTATAAAAAAAAAGACTTTTCTCATATGACTTGTTATCTAATTTCTCTTTCTACTATAATTTCTTGGTAGATAAGTTTCTATGGGGGTTTATAATTATGTAACCCACTTATATTCTTATGCCCTCTAAGATATTTCTGTGTTTTTATTATAGTGTAATGTTCTCTGGTTGAAATAGTAGGGGATAATTTCAAAAAATATATAATAGTTTAATGCAGAATAATTCAACTCAACTGTCATTATAACTCAAGAAAAAGAAGATATCACCTTCCGTCAAAAGTAAAGTAACAAGGCACAAATCTGACCTCACCTCCTGACCTCCAGCCAAGACTTAACCACCTGACTTCAAACCAAGAACTGAGCACCTGACATTTAGCCAAAACCTGACCTACTGACCACCAGCCAAGACTTCACCTCCTGACCTCCAGCCAAGACCTGACCACCTAACCGCCAAAACCTGACCTTCAACCAATACCTGACCACAAGACCTCCAGCTAAGGTTTTGACCACATGACCTCCAACCAGGACCTCACCTCCTGACCTCTAGCCAAGATCTGCCCTCCTGTATGTACCGGCATTACATTCCAAATATCAAAACAATGATACTGGTGGATTTCAAGAAGGGGTTGAAAGTATATCCAATCCAAAATACCAGAATAAAATATACATAAAATATAAAAAGTAAGATTATAAGAATCCCACACTCCCCAAGTCCTGAAAAATAAGATTTAACATTATTTCTCAAGTTGGCGAGTGTGAGACAAAAACTCCCAGACAATTGTGTGATTCTTTTCCTTACATAGCCACAAAATATGTTATTAAACAGAAAAAACAAACTTGATGCAAGACATGTATTGTGAATGTATTATTCTGCATCACAAAACATCCCTATCATCCATTAAGACAACACACACACCATATATTCTAAACACCTAGGAAGCCTTGTTTTCATGGTTCAGTACGAACCATATAGATGTATACTAGTGGTTGACAAAATTGTTCATGTTTTGATGTGTGCAAGTGCATAATTCTTCAACACTTGTCCCGATATTTATAGAATATATCAAATTCAATATGGAGTCCATTCTTGAGGAATTCTCTTAAGACAACAATTAACAAACAAAACAGAACGTAAGATTGATCTAAAACTGAATCAGCCATATCATATTTCTTATCATTCCATCCATCATTGCCATTAACAAATAATGATGTTATCAAGCAGCAATAGCAATAACAATTTAATTATCATTTGCAATTCTGTCTGTAGAGAGAATAAATTGTGAGAACTCATTTAATTGACCATGGAGAAAAATGGGAAAATAACACAAAATGTTCATGATTATATTCACACCAAAATCATGATCATTTCAGACCACAACATTTCAATTCAATTTAAACAGACATTTGTATGACTGTAGATTTTAAAATTGGAATGCACAATGTTACCACACAATAAAGTAAATTAGCCAATCATGTTTCACCAGTGAGACTCGCATCCCTTTCCTCAGGTACGTGAATGCCAAATAGTCATCTAGGGAAAATTTGAATATTGTAAATTCAGGGTCAGTCCACGGTCTATATATGATTCCAGTAAATTAAACATGGAAATACTGCCCTCTATTTTGTAAGCTTATCCTTATACACTGGTATTTCAGCACATTTTTTTGTTTTAGGCAGATTTTATAATGATTTCAGTTGAACAATGGAGTCAAACATGACCTGAAATTACATAAAAATATTTTAAATAATATCAGCAAGTTTGAGTATGCATTTTTGTGTTTATATTTAATTGTTACAATGGCCTACATGATTATGTTGAGTACCTTTCATTAGCTATACAACACAAATAGAATAACAAAGAATTATACAGATTCAATCAATTTGTCAACAGAGGGCGCTATGCAGTGGCAAAATAAAGTGTTCAAGGTACCCAAGCTGACCAGAAACATACATTGTCATGTCCAGGATAAAAAGTTGTTCTACCATGTTTACTCAGATGTTTTGAAATGATAATTGTTCAAGATGTTGCCAAATAGTTGTAAACAAGTTTTCATTATGATTCTAGACTTACGAACAAGGCCAGAAATCTAATTTGGCACTATACAATGTACCGTACATGTATGCACATCTTTAAATAGATGTTTTTCAAGTTTCTATAGCAACTAATTAATTCAATTTCTTCCAAAATGCTTCTCATATATCACAGCAATATCATAGAATCTCAGGTTTTAGGCAGAAAAGAACAAAAGAGAAGTAATTCTAACGATAATTTGTACACGTACACAGTCATGTATGTAAATTCTAAAGTCACTTTGAACACTAATTGCAAAACAAAGCCACATAAAATAAATATTCTGGATACTGTTATTTCTACACTTGTAATTAAGAAACAAGTAATACCTATAGGGACAGATAATCCAGATACAGAATCATTCAATCATAACAAGAAAACTCTTGGTTTACAAAAAATAGGTTACAATTTGAAACGAAAAAGGTGGTCGATAGAAATGTATTTCCAGATTTAAAGAACTGATGACTCTAGCAATACTAATACTGAATATCGTCAACTCTTCTACAATTCCATCTATTTAAATCTCATCTATCAATGCAGGCCCCTTAATTGGCATTTACGAAAAGAATTCCTTTATCTCACCTGTTTTTTTTTTCAATGCCAACCAATCTGCTAATATCGCCCTCTGTTTTTGACAAAGAAATTAAGCAAAGTAACACTGCCCTCTATGTTGGGAAATTACTTTTTTTTGTGGGAACTTTTTCACATTTGGGTTTTTTGATTTGGCTTCTTGCTTCGATTTATATCACTCAATTCAAATGTGTTTTTGCACAATTTACCAAACTCAGTACTGACTGACTGACTGACTGACTGACTGACTGACTGACTCATTATTTGTAAAGCGACAATGTCAACAAATAATAATCACGAGAAGTTTTCTCACCTGAGTATCCTTGTCTTCCTTTTGAAAAACTGAAATACGAGTTATATCCTTCTACAACAGCATTGGCCTCATCTAGCTGGTCACCTTTAAATAACAAAGAGACATATTGAAATATGAGTTATATCCTTCTACAACAGCATTGGCCTCATCTAGCTGGTCACCTTTAAATAACAAAGAGACATATTGAAATATGAGTTATATCCTTCTACAACAGCATTGGCCTCATCTAGCTGGTCACCTTTAAATAACAAAGAGACATATTGAAATATGAGTTATATCCTTCTACAACAGCATTGACCTCATCTAGCTGGTCACCTTTAAATAACAAAGAGACATATTGAAATATGAGTTATATCCTTCTACAACAGCATTGGCCTCATCTAGCTGGTCACCTTTAAAGTGCCTGTGAAATGGCTGCTATTTTCACGCCTAAAATTATTAATTGATACATAAATATTATTAATTTTTATGTTTCTAAGCATGAATTATTTTTTTTAAGTGAAAAAATGTGTTTTAAACTCAGTCTACGGCAACTTTATTTTTGTGTATTTTAAAACGAGGCTCCTCATTAGCTTCCATTTGCATACAGAAATTCCCCTTGTGACGTCAGAAAGGGAAGTCGCATGGCAGCTTGCATTGCCGATACGTGTAAATAAGGCAAATTTCTTGTGCAGTTTTCTTCGTCTTTGACTAAATTGTCACTTATGTACTTGTTCGTCGAGGAAGAATGAACCATAATGAACACATAGTATCATTTTTTGTTGCATGGGGTTCAGTTAGATGCGAAATATGTCCGTTCTGGTGTAGCTGGTCACCGTGATCGTCACCGACACCGGCGCACGTTTGTACACT